AGTCTCTCTTCTGGTGCTTGTGCATTGTTACTTATGGTTCGTCATAATACAAGAATGTTCACAGTAGCTTTATTCATAGTTGCCAAAAATGGGGAACAACTCAAATGTCCATCAGCATCAGAATGGCTGAACAAACTGTGACACATTCGTGCAGTGGGGTACTGCACAGGAATAGAAAAGAAACAAGTTACTGATGCACACAGCGACATAGGTGAACCTCACAGGCAGTAGGTTAAGTAAAGGAAGCTATAGAGTCTCTAGGTTACTCAAACTGTTAAGCGCTCAACTAGCAGCCGAAACGTTGGCGATTCAAACCCAGCCAGAGGCGCCTCGTCAGACAGGCCTGGGGATCTACTTCCGAAAGGTCGGCCTTGAAGATCCTGTGGAGCAGTTCTGCTCTGGCACAGATGGGGTCGACTTGACGGCAACTAACAACAACAACAGCGATATGCCAGATTTAAGTAAAGGAAGCCAAACACCAAAAACTACACGCCGTATAACTATTTAGATGAAGTCAAAGTGCAGGCAGAACCAGTCTGTGGTGATAGGCAGCTATCGGGAGAGAGAATTGACTGCAAGGGGCTACAAGGGAACTTTCTGAAGTAATGGAAGTGTTCTGCACTTTGAGCTGGGTGGTGGGTACACTGGGTGTATATATATTTAAAGGGTCATCGAAACAAATGTACCAACGAATGCAAGGCATTAATTATAGGGCAGACCGTATGTAGCGGGGAGAAAGGGTATGTGGGAACCCTCTGAATTTTCTGCACAATTTTTCTGTAAACCTAAATCTACTCTAAAAAGATAAAGCCTGTTAAAAAAAAGAAATGAAATAATGTCAAGAGCTTTGTTCAGTGCCCAGCACATAGTAATCCCTCAATAACTGATAGTTTTTAAAAAGCAATAAAAAAGATAACAGATATGAATTTCCTATTTTTCTACCTATTATTAATATTTTTAAAAGTCATTGAGCTGTACCATTAAGATTTGTGAACTTCGCTATATTTAAGTTATACCTCAATAAAATATCGATTTTTCGGATCACCAGGCTTTTCTTCTGAGGCTCCTCTGGGTGGACTCAAACCACCAACCTTTCTGGTAGTAGCTGAGCTATTAATAAAATACGTAGGTAGTATATGTTAAAAACCATACATTAAAGCCTTTTAAAAAGGAAAATAAACATACACAAACAAAACCTTCAGAGGGTGCTTGAGCCCCTGCTCAAATTTTGCAAGATCTGTAAAAGAGCATTGTTTTGGGCTAAGCACTTCCACATGCAGTATCTCATTTAATCCTCATGACCTCCCTATGGAATCTGCATGATTGTTTCCACTTCAGACAGGAGGAGCCTGTAGCTCAGAGAGGTTAAGCGACATGTTCGGTGTCACGCAGCCAGTAAGTGGCAGAGCTGGGATTCACGCTGCCCTATACATACGCAGGACTTTCAGAACTGCCTCTGGGCCTCCCTTACCAAGTTCATGTTCACATTTCCCTGAGTGTTGTCTCTGGCCTCAGCCCAGAGGATTGACTTCCCTGGTTCTGACTGCCCATCTACACCCCCACCCTAAAGTGGTTCTCTAACCCAAGTGTATCTTGCCCCCTCAGCACCCCTTCGTCAGCAGCATCACCAGTAACAAGGCTCTGCGGGAACTGGTGGCGGAGGCCAAGGCCGAAGTGATGGAGGAGATTGAAGACGGCCGGGATGAAGGGGAAGAGGAAGACTCCGGGGACGTGACCTCTGTAAGGCCAGGAGGAATGGGGGTGGGGAGGGCGGGGTTCCGGGGAGGCCAGGAAGGATGATTTCTGTTTCTCTCCAGCTCAGGGTTCCAGACGCCCATGCCATAGGTTACAGATTACATAAGACGGGCGTGGAGCTGGGTGACAGCAGTGGGGGTTGTTGGCCAGAGCCTAGAAGTTTCCAGGAGAGACCAGAAATCTAGATTTTTCACATGGAATCTTCCAGTTTTTAAAAGTTGGCAGTTAATTCAGTGCTTCCCAACCTTTTTCATACTGACTCACATACGAAAAGAGACTGTTTTTTTTACCACACTTTGAGATAAATGAAGGAGGCCGCACAGAGTCAGAGGCGGCAGGCCAAGGAGCTCCAGCCACCCCAGACCCCATGTGGCCGCCCTGAGGACCATGGGGACCCTATCTTGCATTTTCATAACCCATTTGCAGCTGCAGCAGTTGCTGAGCAGTTCTGAGCTAATTTAAATTAAAAAAAAAAAAATTGCACCAAGCAAAGCACATCTGTGGGCCTGATTCTGTCCTGAGAGGCTGCTTTTCAACCTCTGGTCTAGCTGCTTGGGAAGGGCCTCTTCTTGGAGGGGGGTTTGCTATCCTAACATATGTGTACCTAGTGAAGCAGGGGTTGGACTTGGCCAGCCCACATTGTTGTCCCATGCAGGCCCATTCAATGGCTTTCTCAAGTTTAATTCAATCATGGAAGCAGCCTGTGGCCGGTGCACATCCTCACGGGGTGAAGATAAGAAGCTCTGAGGAGGGCAAGCTGATTCAATACAATAACCGCAACTATTTACTGAGCCCCACCGAGCGTGCTGGGCATTCTGTAAGCCTACGACAGAGAGGAACCAAGTCTCCATTTTACAGATGGGAAAACTGAGGTCTGAGAAGTGAATTGGCTGGCTGGGTGGATGGGTGCAGAGCCAGGTGTAGGCGGGAGTAGGAGACCCAGGGTGGAAGAGGGAGGCAGCTTGCCAGGGCCTGGATCCAGGAGGAGGCAGCAGGCAGAGGGTGTGGGGAGGGAAGCAGAAAGTGGTCACCACAGCCTCATTCTCCACTGGCAGGAGGCTGATCTTCGTCATGAGCTCAGTGGGGGCCATTGAAGGGTTTCAGGCAGAGGCTGGGTGTTGGTTGGGGGGATGGCAGATCAGATCTGAATATTAGAACCATCTCTCTGGTGCTGAAGAGAAGGTGGATTGAAATTGCTTCTAGTAACTACCTTATCCAAGGTCAAAAACCAGGGCCGGAAGGACCCCAAAGAGTACTTAACAGTATGATTCCATTTATATAAAGTTTTAAAAGAGGCAAAACTAACCTATAGCACTTAGTTGCCACTGAGTCAGCTCCAACTCATGGCAGTCCCACGTGTGTCAGAGTAGAACTGTACTCCGCAGGGTTGTCATTGGCTGATTTTTTCAACAACGCAGTGCTTAGAGATCGAACCTAGATGCTAAGTCATGCTGAGGAGAGGGAGGGGGTTGTCACTGGGAGAGGAGCAGGTGGGGCCCCCTGGAAGTGGCAAGTTCCACTCCTAACCTGGAGGGTAGCTATATGGGTTCTCACTTTATTCATTAAGCTGCACATTTGTGTTTCATCCACAGAAATGGATATTCTGTTTCACAATAGCAATGTTTCCAGTACTCTCTACCCCCCAAAAGCTCTGTCAGACAAAAACAAAACAAAACTCAAAATGTGATAGCTGTACCCATGTGCATATATAGATTAGGTTGTGGATATTTCTACATACGTGTTTGTATTGCTTCATGTATATTCATATATTCAGTAGAACACATAGGGGGCACAGTCATAGAAACTTCTTAGTTATAACTACATACCTCGTAGGACTGAGTTACTGGGCTTGAGGGCTGGGGAGCATAGTCTCGGGGGACATCTAGGTCAATTGGCATAACATTCATAAAGGCAATGTTCTGCATCCTACTTTGGTGAGTAGTGTCTGGGGCCTTAAAAGCTTGCAAGCAGCCAACTAAAATACAACTATTGGTCTCTTCTGGTCTGGAGCATAGGAGAGTGAAGAACACAAAAGACTCAAGGAAGCAATTAGTCCAAAGGACTAATGGCCCACAGGAACCACATCCTCCACAAGCCTGAGACCAGAAGAACTAGATGGTGCCCAGCTACCACTACCAACCACTCTGACCAGGAGCACAATAGGTGTTCCCAGTAAGAGTGGGAGAAAGATGTAGAACAAAATTCAAATTCATAAAAAAGACCTGACTTACTGGTCTGATAGAGACTGGAGCAACCCCCAACTCTGTGGACATTTGACACCCTTCTAACTTGGAACTGAAGACACTCCCGGAGATCACCTTTCAGCCAAATAATAGACAGGCCTATGAAATAAACAGTAATGCCCATGAGGGAACGAGACCGAAAGGGCAACAACTGCCCCAAAGCAAAGATTTGAGAAGGCAGGAATAGACAGGAAAACAGGACGAATGGAAACAGGGAACTCAGGGTGGAAATGGGAGGTGCTGACACACTGTAAGAATTGCAACCAATGTCAAGGCACAATGTGTGTATAAATATTGAATGGGAATCTAATTTGCTCTGTAAACTTTCACCCAAAGCACAATAAAATGTTAAAAAAACATTAATAGCTGGCAGATTGAATCCAACCCCTAGATAGGTTTGTTTGGCCTTTATACAATCTTCAAGACTTTTGAATTAATTGTCATCTAAAAGTCTGGAAATGTCAGTAAAAATCTAGATTTTCAGCTTCTGTTGAAAAATTGGAAGATCTGGCCACAGAAGGTCCAGTCTCCTACTTTGTCACAACTGGCTGGAGCAGAGTAGCTGCTGCCCCCTTAAATGGGGCATGAGCTTAGACTGTGGCCTTAGACTGGCCACAATCACCACTCCTAGAACGGACACAACCAACCAACTAACCAGTTGTTGTTGAGTCAACTCCGACTAATGGCAACCCTCTAAGTGTCAAAGTATGCTCCATAGGGTTTTCAATGGCTGATTTTTCAGAAGTGGATCTCCAGGCCTTTCTTCTGAGGTGCCTCTGGTTAGACTTGAACCTCCAACCTTTCAGTAAGCAGCTGAGCACATTAGCCATTTGCAACACCCAGGGACTCCTCCTAGTAGAAATAGTAGCTATTAAATGAAACTAAGATTAGAGATAATCAGATTCCTATTCCTTAAAAAAAAGTAGTAATTTTATTGTTTGTTAGGCAATAGGGAGTGGTGAGGACTTCGGCTTACTGAAGACTGATACCTATTTCACTCCCCTGGTGGTGCAGTGGTTAAAGTAATTGCTAACTGAAAGGCCAACGGTTTGAAACCACCAGTGGCTCTGCAGAAGAAAGATGTGGCAGTCAGCTTCCTTGGAGATTTACAGCCTTGGAAACCATGTGGGGTCGCTGTGAGTTGGAGTCAACTCGATGGCGGTGGGTTTGGCCTGGGTTTGCTTTGGCCCTAACCCACATCACCTTGTCAGGGTCTGACTTTCCAACCCTGCTGTGTCTCTGACTCTTTCCTTAGACATGCAGAAGCACAGCCTTAACTGTCTCTTTTTTTTTTTTCCTAGCCTCTGGGGAACCACACTCAGGACTCTTCTGAGGTGAGTCAGCTGAGCCTCAATGCTGACAAGCCTCTCAAGGAATCATCTTCCACCCTGCCAACGCCCAGCCAGCCTCAGGACAGTGTGAATGGGCCCTGCAGCCAGCCCTCTGGGGACAGATCCCTCCAAACCACCAGCCCCCCAGATGTGGCCCCTGGAAATGAGAATGGCCTAGCTGTGCCTGCTCCCCTCCGGAAGTCCCGGCCAGTATCGATGGATGCCAGGATTCAGATAGCCGAGGAGAAGCAAGTCACTGACTGGGGAGACCTTGGTCCAGTAGCCAATAGGTCCCAAAAGGCAAGCCAGAGCCGGCCCAACAGCAGCGCCCTGGAGACCTTGGGTGACGAGAAGCTGGCCAATGGCAGCCTGGAGCCCCCTGCCCAGGTGGCTCCAGGCCCATCCAAGAGCGACTCAGACTCTGGCAGCCTCTCCGTCTCCGAGAGCTTGGACTACAGCACCTCCCTCTCTGCTGACCTGTCCCTGAACAAAGAGACGGGCTCTCTGTCCATTAAGGTAACTCCACCTCCCGCCCGGAGACTTGGAGCAAGATTATTATAGGATATTTTCTGCCCAGCTTTGGTTTTAGAAAGCATTTAGCAGTTGTCTCCCATTTGAAGTGGTTCATGAGGATTGCTCTTTTCTTTAAGGAACTTATAGTTCAATTCATAGAGGGGACAGTGGTGGTTTAGTGGTAGAATCCTCACCTTTCGTGCAGGAGACCTGGGTTCGATTCCCAGCCAGTGCACCTCATGTGCAGTCACCACCTGTCTGTTGGTGGAGGCTTGTGTGTTGCTGTGATGCTGAACAGGTTTCAGTGGAGCTTCCAGACTAAGATGGACTAGGAAGAAAGGCCTGGCCATCTACTTCCAAAAATCAGCCAATGAAAACCCTATGGATCACAATGGTCTGATCTTGTGGTACATGGGGTTGCCATGAGTCGGGGGCCAACTTGATGGCAACTAACAGCAACAGTTTAATTCATAGTTTAATCTCCAATCTCCAGAGTATTTTGGTTCAATATGGGATTTAGTAATGTCAAGCAGTTGGTTCCGGTTTAAATTTCAAAGTTTGGTTAAAGGCCTTGGTAAAATTCAGGAAAGAGAATTCTAGAAGTTCTTTTATTTGGGGCTTTCAGGGGTCATCCTGTGGGGTCAGCTCTGTGGTTCAGCCGATGACTGGTAGATTCATTGAGAGGAAAGGGCTCACAGCTTTCGTCCCGGCTTAGTGGCCTTCCTGGAGGTAGATAATGTTACAGATGACAATAGCCGCTGTGCCTGAGGGGTCAGCCTGTGATGAACACTGTTATGTGCATCATCATTCCAATTTACAGATGAGGAGACAGGCTTAATGAAGTTGGGAGGTGGGCCATGGAGGTAGGAAGTGGAGTTGCTAGTCAGACCCCAACTCCACACTGTCAACTCCACTTGCCTTTCCAGGGAAGCTACAGCCTCCCCCTCTTCCACTGACTATAAGGGTCTGACTCCTTCCCCTGCCAACTTCAATAATTACAGAACATTCCTGAACTCACCAGTGACCACCTGCCTGTGGCCATGCTGAGGCCTCACTCTCCTGTGGGTTTTAGGGAAAGTACTGTAACTTCTTTTTTTTTTTCCCCCCTCATCATTTTTCCAGTGAAAACTACACAGTAGATCCTCAAAAAATATTTACTAAATGAAAGGGAGAGAAAGGAGGAGAAGCAGCCAGCTAGCCCAATAATGAGCTGCAAGAACACAAAGTTCTACAGGTCACTAGGAGAAGTGTGGACAGCAGCTCTTATGTATAAGCAGCACTGGGGCCCAGCACCTTTCCAGGGACGGGCGTCTTGCCCCTTCTCTTCTTGAAAAGACCTTAAGGGCAGTGAGAGAGTAGTACCCCTGTCATCTCAGTCTGCATCTGCCTGCCAAGCCCATCCTGACAGGACTCCTTATGGTAGCAGCTTCCCAGAACCAATGTGCCTACCCCTAGACAGTGACACGAGGCATATCGGCCCTCCTTGGAGCCCAGGTCCGGATGAGAATGTTCTTCCTTTACCAAGTCCCTACTTCCTGTCACAGGATCTGTCTCTTTCTGGTATAATTAGCAGGCAACTCCCTTCCAGGAAAACCCCATTCCCTGTTCCCAGGGGAATGGCCTTGACCCACAGACCCAACACCAAAACCACCTCAAGACCACCACCACCAGTTTCTGTGGCATCAGTTCCAACTCATAATGACCCCATGTGTGTCAGAGTAGAGCGGTACTCCATGGGATTTTCAGTGGCTGATTTTTCAGAAGTAGATCCCCATGTCTTTCTTCCCAGGCGCCTCTGGATGGATTAGAACCTCCAACCTTTGCGTTAGCAGCCGAGTGCATTAACCATTTTCACTACTCATGGACTTCCACCTTAAGACACAATAGTATAATTCCCAAACCTAAATTATTCTGTTGTAAATCACACAATGAGTAGCACACCAGCTATATAATTTTTTGAACTTCCATAAGCTTCATCCATTTCTCTTTTAGTATAGTTTCCCAGTCTTTAAAAAAATAAAAAAAAGGACCCTAAATGTAAAAAAAAAGGTCGTTTTTACCTTTTTTTTCCTGTGCTAAAGGCCAGCCCCACCCAGAGCAGGGTGTTGAGAACGTTCCTGTGAGTGGATCGGGCTGTTCTGATAAGCCCCTGCTGGCTGCATCGGCACTGTTGGCCTGCAGTAGAAGCCTGTTACCTCAGGGATGAAGCCCCGTGGCCAGGAGCAGTTCTCTGAGGGCTGCTGCCGGGGCCTCCCTTTTCCACTTCAGTTCTCTCCTGCCAGCTTCTGTTTCTCCCTGCTCATTTGACCCATCTTGAACTGAGTCCTAGGACTTGTGAGTGGGGCACAATAGAGAGAGTAAGACATGACAGCCCTGTTCTCAAGGTGTCCTGGGCAAGATGCCATGGGAGGAGGCAAAAGAGTGTAGGGATGGGGCCCAGCCATTAGCAAACGAGAATGGTGGGCTGGTCTCCACTGAGTGGGAGTGGGAGTGGGGGTCAGAGCAGATTTGAAGGTGCAGAGACCAACTGCCTGGAGCCACCCTGGCTGGGTCTCTCCTCTCTTGGAAAGGCAGGGCTGGGCTCCACCAGGGGGGTCCCCAGAAGCCAGCCAAGGGGTCAGACACAAGAGAGGATGCCATGATGAGACCACTGCAGGCCACAGGTCCTCACCCAAATCAGAATCCAGATTTTCAAAGGTCTCCATATATTATCTCACACTTCCAGGTATTCAGGCATCACTCTGTAAGCAACCACATGTGAAATGCACGATTATTCATAGTCAAAGGCAAAGATTATGAGTAATCTTGTGGCAGTTCCAAGTAGGAGGTCGGGTCAGGTCAGGTCAGGTTTCCTGCCAGATCAGTTACAAAACAACTTTTGGTCTTCTACGTTGTATTTTAGCATTTCTGACAAGAGATTCTGGTCTGGTAATAATAAACATCAGGAATCACACTTGCCAAGAGCTGGGTGCTACACCACGTGACACCCACACTTGATCTCATTGACTTGCTGTAACCACCCTGTGAGGCAAGTACTATTACTGTCCTCATTTGACTGGTGAGGAAACTAAGGCTCAGACAGGACAAGGGACTTGCCCAAGTCACAGAGTGAATAAGTGGTACAGTCAGGATTAGAACTAAGCTCTTTCTGCCACCACAGCCTATGTGTGTGGGGTGCCAACAGCCAGGTGTGCAGGCATCACGGCAGTGTCTGAAGGTCAAGATCAGGGAGAGGAAAAGGGGTGCACTTGGACACTCAGGCTCTCAGATTGAGAAGCTGACGTGAGAGGGGCGATGGGCAGCCATGTCCTCCCTGGGCTGGGCCGAGTCTGGGGGGCCAGGAGGGCTTGGGCCACCTCCCTGTATCAGCTGTGAATCCTTAGCTGAAATGCTGAGCTTTGCTTAATGATTTTTCCCGGCCAGGACTCAAAGCTGCACAACAAGACCCTCAAGCGGACACGCAAGTTTGTGGTGGATGGCGTGGAGGTGAGCATCACCACCTCCAAGATCATCAGCGAAGATGAGAAGAAGGATGAGGAGATGAGATTTCTCAGGTGAGCCTGGGCAGGGCCACTGATGGTGGTAATAGGGTGGAGGTGTGGTATGCAGGGTGGGCATAAGGGTTATCTGTCTGCAGCATAAACTGGGAGATCAAGGAGACAAAAGGAAACTGATTTTGATTGAGATCCTGCACGTCTGCATCCATCCTGCCAGGCAGCCATCCATTCATCCATCCATCCGTCCACCCATTCACCCATCCACCCATCCATCTACCCATCCATCCAGTCACCCACCCATCTGTCTGTTTGTCCATTCATGCATCTACTCATCCATTCATCTATCCATCCATCCACCTGTCCACTCATCCTCCCACCCACCCATTCATCTACCCGTGCATCTGTCTGTCTGCCCATCTGTCCATCCCAAACATAAATATTGACTGAGTTCGCACAACAGCACAGGCACCATGCTGGGCTTGGGGGATACGGCAATGACCCAGATAGATAAGGCCTTTGCCCTTGTAGAACTTATACCTAATGGGCCCATGCACACTACACTAGATAATTTCTGATTGCGGCATATCCTAGGAGGGTAATGAATAGGTGATGTGGTAGCAAGTGCCTGGGCTGGGCAGGGGGTGGGGAGAGGCTGCTCTGAGGAAAACCCTGTGAGCTGAGCCTGAAGGGTGAGCGGCTGTTTTCAGAGCTGGGGAGCACAGAGGGAGCTGCAGTCGCTGAGGTCCTGAGGAGTGGCCCTTGGCTTGTTTAAGGCACCGAAAGGACAGGGCTGGAATGTAAAGGTCAGAGGGAGAGGGTAGGGGATGCGGTCAGCGGGGTCAGCAGGGCCCAGATCACATAGGCCTGTGGGCTGGAGTGAAAGACGTGAAAGAGTATGGCTTTTACTCCTCGTACAGTGTGTGTGGAGAGGGGGCTAACAGCTGAAGAGTGACCACCTCAGATGTCCCTTTTTAAAAATGGCTTTGGCTGCTATGCAAGCGGGGGCTGTAGAGGGGTAAGACTGGGAGCAGGGAAACGAGAGACCAGGAGGCTGGGCCCTCTTCCAGGACAGTCGGGCTGTGGGCTTGGGCTAGGGCAGTGGCCACAGAAAAGGGAAGAAGTGATTGGGTTCAACATACATTTTGGAGGCAAAACCAATGAGCCTTGCTGAGGGATTAGACCAGGCGGGAAGGTGTGAGGTGGAACCTATGAGCCAAGAACCGTGCTCTGCACTTTTCAGTTGCTGTTTTCCTCTAATAGCCCTCCTTGTTGTTAACTGCTGTCAAGTCAGCCCAAAACTCATGGCGACCTCACGTATAACAGAATCAGACTGTTGTGATCCATTGGGTTTTCATGGGCTGATTTTCTGAAGTAGAAGACCAGGCTTTTCTTCCTAGTCCGTCTTAGCCTGGAATCTCCACTGAAACCTATTCAGCGTCATAGGGACAAACAAGCCTCCACTGACAGATGGGTGGTGGCTGCACATGAGGCATATTGGCCAGGAATCAAACCTGGGTCTTCTGCATGGAAGGTGAGAATTCTTCCACTGAACCACCACTGCCCTCCTCACAGCCCTCCCTAAAAAAACCAGCCAACCAACCAACAAAAAGCAGCTGCTAGTGGGTCGATTCTGACTCCGTGTGTGTCAGAGTAGAACTGTGCTCCATGGGGTTTTCAATAGCTGATTTTCCAGAAGTAGATCACCAGGCCTTTCTTCGCATACCTCTGACAGACTCAAACCGCCAACCTTTTGGTTCGCAGCAAAGTGTTTAACCATTTGTGCCACCTAGGGACTCCTTGCAGCACTCCTTAGGGAGACCCTGTTTCCACCATTTTGTAAACGAGGAAGCTGTTTCTTGGCGGTTAAGTTATTTGCCGCAGGTCACTCAGTTGGGAAGGGGTAGAGCTGAGATTATGTTTCGGTGTATTAGTTTCCTGTGGCTGCCGCAACAAATAACTGCAAACTTGGTGGCTTAGCACAACAGAAGTCTGTTCTCTCACAGTTCTGGAGGCCAGAAGTCTAAAATCAAGGTGTGAGCAGGGCTGCACTCCTTCTAAAGTCATTAGGGGAGAATCGTTCCTTGCCTCTTCCAGCTTCTGGTGGCTCCTGGCATTTCTTGGCTTGTGGCCACATCACTGCAGTGTCACATCACCTTCTTCTCCTCTGTCTGTCTTCTATGTGTGTCTCTTACAAGGACACTCGTCATTGTGTTTAGGACTCCCCCAGATAAGCCAGGATGATCTCATCTTGGGCCCTTAATTACATCCGCAAAGACCCTTTTTCCAATGAGGTCACACTCTAAGGTGCTGGGGCATAGGAGGTAGACATAGCTTTGGGGGCCACCATTCAACCCACTGCAGCAAACTTGTTTGTGTGAGGATTTCACTGAATTCCTACCAGACCAGGTGCTTCCTGGGGGTGGCAGGGGAGGGCGTGCCAGTCAGGGAGGCCGAGCAGCCACCCAGCTCCACTGGGGCCAGGCCTTTGCAGGGTATATTCATGATTGGTTTGGAGCAAAGTTTTAGAACATCACACACATTCGTATTTTTAAAAAAGCACAAACGTTCCAAAGCCAAATAGTAGCAGTTTAGGATACTGTGTAGCACTTCTTCCCTCTAGGGGCCAGAAGGATGAGAGCAGACTTTTTGATGGTTGGTTGGTTAGCAGTGTTTCTGCAGGAGCATGCACATGTACACACACATCATATACACACACACTTGTGTCCTCACCTGTGAGGGTTGGGGAGGCTGGGCAGGCTTGCTTTTGCCCAGTGACACCACCTTCTGATTTAACAGTCACCTGGGAGGTGCCCTGAATTCATCAAGCTTCAGACCTCAGGAGCTGGATTTCTATCATCTCCCCTCTGGGCAGTTCAGGTTCCAGGGTTGAAATTCCAGATTCCCCACAACCCACCAAGAAGTGATGCCCTCTGGCCATGGCACTGGACCCCTCTTTAAGAGGAGGAGCTGTGTGCTATTCAGGTTGGAAAGGTGAGACCCAGCCCAGGTGGAGGAGAGGTGCTCAGGAAGAACAAGCCTTTTCTTATTTGTATGCCATGGCCTGGAGGTCTGAGTGTCCTGTAAACTGGATGCCTGGCTGCAGAGGTGTGGAAGCTTAGATCATTCCCCGCCAGCCCATGCCCCTGTAATGCCTGGATCCTAGCATTTCCAGAGGGTTATCTCACATGTCGAGGCTCAAGTCCCCCCAGAGGCACCTCAGAAGAAAGGTCTGGCAGTTCATTTTAGAAAAATCATCTGCGGAAAACCCTGTGGAGCACAGTTCTCTGACACACGTGAGGTCGCCATGAGTTGGAGTCAACTTGAAGGCAACTTATTTTTTTCTTTGAGGAAGAGGGTCACATGTAGTTTTTTGAACCATGTGACAGCATGTTCATCCCTGTCCCAGACTGAAGCTTTTGGACCAGAGTGCCCCCTGTTCTTCCCTAAAATTGCTTGTGTGAGTTCTTTCTTAAGTCATTAGCCTGCCTGTCTGCCCGCTGCCCTTGTGAGAACTTGGGTGGGTCAGGGAGGTGATGTCAGAACCTGGCTGCCTGCCTTCTTCTCTCTGTGTTCCTTCGTTTGTTTGCTTATTTGTCAATTGTTCTCTAAACCTTAGTTTCTCTTGAGTTAGAATTTCCATTTCTTTGTTAACACTTGCATAAAGCGCCCCTACTTTCTCACTTCCCAGCAAAGCAGAGACGAAGCTTCTTTATATGGTGTAGAAAGTCCTCCTCCAGAGATGGGAGCAGCCCTGGCTACCTCCTCATCCTCATTGTCCTCCGAGCATTTTATCAAGCAGGGCACTTTACATATATCACCTCTTTGAATCCCCAAAGGACCTGAGAGGTAGAGATTATTGTCCCCATTTTACAGATGAGGCAGTGGAGGCCCACAAAGATTGGATGACTGCCCGAGACCTGAAGCTGGAAATTTGACAGAGTAAGGGTTCAAACAAGGCTCCTCTGGACCCCAGAGAGTGTCCCAGCCTCTCCTTGTGGCAGGGTAGTTCCAGGGGCAGTTATATTCACTCAAGGCTGAGAGGAAGGCCAGCTGGGGTGGGAGTGGGCACCCCACAGTGCAGGCTGTGGTAGCTGGACTAGAATCCAGGCGTCGTCAACCCAATCCCAAGAGGCCTCCAGGGAGCTTCTGGTTCACAGCCAGGAGGCCCCAGTTCTTTCTGCAGCATTTAAATTTGTTTTTCTTTTCTGGTTACATAAATGATACATCTTAATTTTTAATGGAATTGCCCAGTTAACACTTTGGGGTTTATCCTGCCAGTACACTTTCTGTGAGTGCAAGATTAAGGTAATTTTATAAAATTAAAGTGTAGGTCAAATTTTTATTGTATTTGTTTTTTGAATAGGTAATATAGTCTCATGGTTCAAAATTCCAAAAATAGAAAAAGGTAAACAATGAAAACTCTCGCTCCCTCCCTTTCCTGCCAGCCAGCCTGTTCCCCTCCCTGAGTTAATATTGTCTTGCGTATCTTTCCAGAGGTACTTAGTCACACACATATATTGCCTGTCTTGTGTTTTATACAGATGGCAGGGTAGCAGTTTAGACACCCTTTAGCATCTTGCTTTTTTCACTTAGAGATCACTCCGTATCTGTTCATAAAGAGCCGTTATGTTTTTAATAGACATTTTCCCAATGTAATTAAATATTTTCCTAAGACTTGATCTTTTAAAATAATTTATTTTATTTTTGTTGTTGTTGAAAATACACACAACAGAACATACACCAGTTCAACAATCTTTACATGTACAAGTCAGTGACATTGATTACATTTTTGAGTTGTGCAACCATTCTCACCCTCCTTTTCTGAGTTGTTCCTCCTCCATTAACAGACTCACTACCTTCTCAGCTTCGTATCTAGCCTTTTGAGTTGCTGTTGTCAATTTGATCCCATAGATAGTCTAAGACTTGATTTTTAATGGTTGTATAGAATTCCATCATATGGATATATTTTAATTTCTTTAATTAGATCTGTGCTGATGGACATTTGTTTCCAATTTTTTATAAGTAACATTGTTACAAACATCCTTATTCAGTTGTGTTGTGCATTTCTGAATATTTCTTCAGACTCAGTATCCAGAAGGGAAACTACCCTGTCAAAAGGCATGAACATATTGCTAAATTGTCCGGCAGAGATGTACTAATTTATACCTGTCAGCAGTATATGAAAATATCAATTTCCACTATAATCTTACATCTTTAGTAAAGAAAATGTTATTCTTTTTAATGTTGCATAACTTATGCCTAACTTAAATTTTTGTTCATCTCTTGTTTTCATGTCTATGTTCTAAACCACTTTCTTATTAGGATTCTTTTTGTCTTATTGATTTGTAAGTGCTCTTTATATATTAAGATTATTAATGTTTTGTCTGTCATTAAATGTCAAATAAGGCCTGAGTTCTAGTCATGCCTCTGCCCCTGACTTGTATGACTCTTCTCCATGCTCCAGCCCTTAGTCTGCCTAGGTGAGATATGTGATCTCTGAGACCACTTTCTGGCTGTGAAATGTCCACATCCTTTAACCCTTCAGGCGCCAGGAACTCCGAGAGCTCCGGCTGCTCCAGAAAGAAGAACATCGGAACCAGACCCAGCTGAGCAGCAAGCATGAGCTGCAGCTGGAGCAGATGCATAAACGTTTCGAACAAGAAATCAATGTAAGTGGGAAGAGATGGGTCCTGCAGGGCTTCTTGCCTCCATTTTTTTTTTTTTTTTAAGTGGGAGCTGCAGAGTGGGGATGATTGGGCAGCGGAGAGTAATTCACAACATTTGCCCAATTCCTGTGGTTTCAAAATCTCATTAAGCATTGACTTGTAAACACAGAATCACATGAAGGTCCCAGTGATCCTCTGAGTCACATGGGAGGAGCTTCTAGAAGGGAAATAACCTTTATTGAGCACCACGAAACAACTCTGTAAGGGAGATGGTCTGTTATCCCTTTAGCAAATGATGAAATTGAGACTCAGAGAGTTTAAATCACTTGACGCAGGTCACACAGCAAAGAAGTGGTGGAGCTGGGACTCAAACTCAAGTTTAAGCACAGGCTCTCGTCTCTCCCCACCTCTCTCCCAGGTATAAAGTGACTTTGCTGAATTTCCCTTTCTGTTCCTTTCAGACCAAGAAGAAGTACTTTGACACAGAGCTGGAGAACCTGGAGCGTCAGCAAAAGCAGCAAGTAGAGAAGATGGAGCAAGAACATGCCGTGCGCCGCAGGGAGGAGGCCAAGCGGATCCGCCTGGAACAGGAGCGGGACTGTGCCAGGTTCCAGGAACAGCTCAAACTGATGAAGAAGGAGGTGAGTACATGCTGGGCCGAGGCAGGGGGGCTCTAGGAGTATTAGGACTCTCTCACTTGCAAGTAATAGAAGCCCCAGCAAAACCTTATCTCAACGATGGGGAATTTTGGGGAGCTCGTGTAACTGAAAAGCTAAGTCCAGGCAGAGCTGGAGCCAGGTGTTCAGCTGTGTCATCAGGAGCCACTTCTCCATACATTGGACTTTGCTTTCCTGTGTTGACTTCATTCCTGGTAGGTCTTGCCATGTGGCCTCTGCCAGCTTCCTTTGCATCCTCCCAGCATAGCAACACCAGCTGAAAGAGGGCAGGGAAGAAGGAAGGGACAGTGGCCCAGGGGGATTTGAGGTGCTGTCGCCAGGAGGGGGATGCGTGCTGGGTGTACAAACACAGCAAGTCCTCTACATGCTTCCCTCTCTTCTCCCAGAACAACAGTCCCTGCTTGGGATCCACACGTCTCTTCTTCCTGTGTCCCTTCCAGCTGGAAGAGGCAAATGGTCCTGAGACAAGGGGAGGGAGGTGCAGTCTCTGCCTGCCCTGGGAAGGGCATCCGGATCCCAAAGAACAGCCCACTCCTCCCTCTGTGAAACCAGAACCTGGAGGCTGGGCCGTGCTTTCTCCCTCCTACACTCTCAGGAGGAAGGAGGTAGACAGAGGAGCAGGGAAGCCCCAGGCAGGGACACCAATCTAGTGTTTCCAATCGCCAGATGACAGCAGTGGATGAACTGCCTCCAAGGGTGATCCACAGACCTGGGGCCTTCAGTTAGAGCCCCGCTCCCAGACTTTACCATGATGGGCTTGACGTTTGGTACATCCGGTAGGCCTCAGGCAGCTGCCTGTGAGAGCCAGGCCACTGGCCAGATGAGCAGGGGCGGGGCTAGGGTACAGCAGGCGAGGCACTCACCTCAGGCACAAAACTTAACAGGGTGCCAAAAAACTTAGTATCAAACTTAATAATAATTTGATGCAACATGTAAAAATAAAAATTAATGTAAAAAATTCATGATGAACGAATATCAAAAGTGAAATTAAGGCATTATGTAACAGGACCGGAATCGGGGTGAGGCAGTGAGGTTGAGCCGTGCAAGTACCAGGTTGGATCCTGTCTTTATCTAACATTTTGATTTTTTAAAAAAAATTTTATTGTGTTTTAGGTAAAAGTACAATGCAAGTTTGTTTCTCATTCAAAAATTTATACACAAATTGTTTTGTGACATTAGTTGCAATCTCAGCAATGTGTCAACACTCTCCCCCTTTTCCTTTCTACCCCGGGTTCTCCGTGTCCTTTCATCCAGTTTTCCTGTCCCTTCCAGCCTTCTCATCTTTGCTTTTGGGCAGGTGTTGCCCATTTGGTCTCCTATACTTGACTGAGTTAAGAGGCACATTCCTCACAGCGTGTTATTGTTTATTTTATGGGCCTGTCTAATCTTTGACTGAAAGGTAGACTTCGAGAGTGGCTTCAGTTCTGAGTTAGCAAGGTATCCAGGGGCCATCGTCTTCAGGGTCCTCCCAGTCTCTGTCAGACCAGTAAGTCTGGTCTTTTTTTGTGAATTTGAATTTTGATCTACGTTTTTCTCCCACTCTGTCCAGAGCCCTCTATTGTGATCCCTGTCAGAGCGGTCGGTGGTGACAGCCAGGCACCATCTAGCTGTTCTGGGCTCAGGCTGGTGAAACATTTTGGTGTTTTGTTCGTCGTGGGTTTTTTAAAAAACAATGATTGTAGTAACATATGTACAACATAAAATTTGCCATTTTAACCGCTTTAAAATGTACAGTTCAGTGACATTAATTACATTCACCGTGTTGTGTAACCTTCACCACTATCTGTTTCCAAAGCTTTTGCATCATCCCGAACAGCAGCTCAGTACCCCTTAAAACAGTAACTCCTTATCCTCCTCTCCCTCTAGCCCCTGGTAACCACTAATCTAACCACTAATCTACTTTCTGCCTCTATTCTCATATCTTTCTGGACATTTCATGTAAGTGGGATCAGACAATATTCTGGCCTTTTGTGTCTGGCTTATTTCACTCAGCATAACGCTTTCTAGGTTTAGCCACACTGTATCATGTATCAGAACTTCATTCTTTTTTATGGCTTCATAATATTCCATTTTATGAATAATATCATATTGTGTTTATCCCATTCATCTGCTGATGGACTCTTGGGTGGCTTCTACCTTTTGGCTATTGTGAATAATGCTGTAATGAACATTGGTGTGCAAGGCTTTATTTACTACTTTGATATTGTGTTCATCATGGATGTTTTTGCATGAGTTTTGATTTTTAAAAATATTATTCATCTTGATAAAAATATTATTCATCTTGATTACTGAGTTTTTTGGCATCCCTTAAGTTTTGTGTCCAAGGCGAGTGCCTCACTCCCCTCACCCTAGTCCTGGCCCTGGTGCTGAGAGATGGACAAGTGGGCTAGGGGCCATGGGGAAGCTGACATCAAACACATCTCCAGCTCATGCAGGGAGCACAGGCCTGGGCATCAGGCCTGGTGTCAGGTTATGGCTCTGGGGCTTGCTAGCTGTTTGGCTTTGGACAAGTTACTTCCCTGAGTCCCATTTGCCTGCTGTCAAAATGAGAGTTATTCAGCAGCTATTTTATTGAGTGTTTATATGTGTGGCACTGTGCTCGGTGCCAAGGATACTGCAATGAACAAAATAGACACAGTACCTCCCTCAAGGAGGTATTAATCTCCAGGGAAGCCAGAAAAGCAAGTACACCATCAAACAAATAAAACAATTGCCAACTGCATATGTGCTGTGAAAGCAAATAGGCTGATAAACTAGAAAATATATGGAGAAACCTGTGTTAGAGTGTCAGGGAAGACCTCTCAGCATATGACATTTAAGCGGAGACCAGAAGGATGCTGCCAGGGTAAGAGCATTCCAGGAAGGTGGAATGGCATGTGCAAAGGTCCTGGGGTATGGAAAGAACTTGGAGTGTTCAGAGTTGCAAAAATGATCAGTATGGCTGAAATTTAGGAAGCAAAGGGGAGATTACCACAAGGTGAAACTAGAGAAGTAGACAGGGACCAGATCATGTAGGGTAGTGGTCTGTGGCCAGAAGCTTGCTGTTGTATTAATTGTTGTTAACCATACATCCCTCACATGGATGTTTTGAGCATTAAATTAGATGTATGGTGAGTGTAAGGAGCCCTGGTGGTGCAGTGGTTAAGTGCTCAGCTGCTAATGAAAAGATTGGCAGTTCGAACTCGCTAGCCACTCCACGGGAAAAAGGTGTGGCAGTCTGCTTCCGTAGAGATTACAGCCTTGGAAATCCTGTGGGGCAACTCCACCCTGTCCTATAGGGGCGCTATGAGTTGGAATCAATTGGACGGCAGGGGGTTTGTTTGTTAGTTTGTTTGTTTTGGGGGGGTCGGTTATGTTCAGCGTTAGACCTAATGTCCACCCCAGAATAATTGCTCAGTAGTTGCCATTTCCCTCTTTGGCTCCCTACCTCATCACATATGTACACCTTTTGTGTGTGTAAGGGTGAAGGAATTGTGGGAAACTGGAAGGGTAGAAAAGAGAGGAGGCGCCTGGGATAGGGAATGTGTAAGGGGGATAAAGGCCCCTCACCCTTACGAGAACCTGCCCTTGACAAAGTTGGATTTTCTCTCTGCTGGCAAGTTTCCAGCCAGGTTTCCAAGCCTGGCATTGAACGCTGACAGTGTGTGGCATCTAGTACTTGGGGTTCTGCTTGGGTTCCTCAGTTCACCTATCTAGAAGCAAGGGCTTTGACTTGATATTAAGGGCTGTATCTCAAAGGAAAGCATCTCCAGGCTTTATCCAGCACACCCACCCTCTCCCTTGACCCCTACCCAGAGCTCCTCAGATAGTTGAGGAACTCACACCTTCCCAGGTACCTTACAACCCATGCCTGCTTTGTGTACTCTTCTCTGCTCTTCACCTGTTTTTGCTTCTATTTCTTCGTAGTTCTTACCCCAAAGGGTTGTAGTAAAAATTAAATGAGGAATTATATGTGAAGCACTTGGAATAGCCTGGCACATACTAATAGATATATGCAGGTGTTTGCTGTTATCTGTATTCCTGATTTTCTGTTATCCTTCCTTACTATTTTTATACAAACTGCTTTTTGAGATGGTTGGACCGAAAGGATAAAAAGATGTCATTAATGGAGGCTCGGTTGACACCTTTATTGTCCAGTTTTATCATTGATTTTAAGATGACTTGACCTTGTGGAAGACATTGCTTAATGAAAATGAACTTGAATTCCCACAAGAAGAATAAATGTGTGAGAGAGACAGAAGTAAAATTTTACCCATCTGGCAGCTCCCAGCAGCACTTGGGGCTCTGTCTTCATTTGGTAACAACCGACGTGGCCACAGGACATAATCTAAATCAGGGTTTCATGACCTTGGCACTACTGATATTTTGGGCTGGATAATTCTTTCTTGTGGGGCTGTCCTGTGCATTGTAGGATGTTTAGCAGCCTCCCTGGCCTCTACCCAGTAGATGCCAGCAGCACCCTCCTAGTTGGGACAACTAAAAATGTCTCCAGACATTGCCAAATGCCCCCTGTGGGACAAAATCACCCCTGGTTGAGAACCATTACTCTAAGTCAACAAGTGATTGTCCAACAGAGATGTTAACAGAGTCCTGGTTTACAGGCATACGCGTTGCCCCCTCCTCGCCACCTCCATGGTGTGGATATAGCACATACCTCCCCATACTGCTTGGGGCCTGAATCTCAGTGAGTAGATGCCTCTTCAGGTATCTGAGAGTCCAAGGAAGACTAAAAACCTACCCTGTGGCTGTGCCCCCACCAAGGACAAGCCCCTGCTTAGCCCATCCCTTGCTTCCCCGTCCCCTAGTCTGCCCTTGCCAGCCTAAAGATGCCTCTGACAGGTGCTCAGAAGCTTGGTTCGAAGCAGGTGAGGGGCTTGGAGTCAGTCAGCTCCTCCCCACAGGCCTCAGAAGCTCCCACCATGCTGTGCTGGAGTGAGAGTCCAGGACTGTGACTGAGGGCTGCGGGACCGCAGCCTATGACACAGGCCGCCAGCACCGTGGGAGAGTGGGCAGGGCATGGCTTTCGAGTCAGATGTCCTGGGTTAGAACACTGGCTCTCCTTCTTACCAGCTGTGGAACCCAGAGTGAGTCACTTCACCTCTCTGAGCCTTAGATTTCCCATCCACAAAACCTGAAAATCAGTATCTTACCATTATCAGTCAGTGATGCTATTATAAAGATAGCCAATTCCAAATGGCTTAAAGAAGAAAGAAAATGTGTTGGCATCTAATGTCACCAGGAATCTGTCTTGTCTCTTGGCATTGCTTCCTTGTGTATATTTTGTCTCAAGCAGTCCCCCTTCAAGGGTTATAAGGGGACCTCTACTGGCTCTTGGCCTACATCATCCCAGCTTAGCCACCCCAGAGGAAAGAGAGTGCCTTTTCCTCAGTGGCCCCGGTAAACGTCCTGCAGCTCTCACTGGCCCAACCATGGCCACATGCACATCTCTGAACCAACCCCTGATGCTGGGGGCAAGGACTACACTGATTGACCAGGCCAGGATCATATGCCCAGCTAGAGGTTTGGGTGTGTCAGCCACACTTAAATCTCAAGGACTGAGAATAGGATGGATGCTTCCCTTTCAAAGCATGCATTCTCAACAGGGACGAGAAGTAACTTAGCTACCTCAACAGGCCACAGCACATAAACAGATATACTATTGTTAGCTGTCGTCAAGTCAACTCTTGACTCATGGTGACCTGATGCACAATGGAACGAAATGCTGCCCAGTCCTACACCATCCCTATGATCAGTGGCAAATCAAACCATTGTGATCCATAGGGTTTTCACTGGGCTGGTTTTTGGAAATAGGTCACCACGCCTTTCTTCCTAATCTTAGTCTGGAAGCTCCACTAAAACCTGTTCAGCGTCATAGCAACATGCAAGCCTCCACTAACAGACAGGTGGTGGCTGTGTATGAGGTGCATTGGCTGGGCATCAAACCTGGGTCTCACTCATGGAAGGCAAGAATTCTACCACTGAACTATCAGTGTATTTTATGGGGGCAAGGGTAGCTAGGAAAAAAAAATGTCTAAAAAGCTTTTTAGAGGACAAGAGTAATTAAAAAAAAAAAAAAAAAGTTGAAAAGTACTGTCCTAGAGGAAACAAAGGTGCTGGTGTATCGGCAGAAGTAGACGGAGAGATGCCAAGCAACCACACACGGCGCTCGCTGCCCCGGAGGAGTCAAGGAGCTGTAGTGGCCGCCCACAGGAGTGGACTCACAGGTGCAGCCTGCCAGGGGGCTTGGTGCAGAGCCGCGTATGGGGGCAAGGGCCTCCAAAGCTGAGCCTCGTCCTCTGTGTCCTGGTCTGGTTCTGGAATTGAAGGCTTATTTTGTTGAAACAGTAAGGGGTACCGACCCAGGTGCCCTGGCTGAAACTCTGCTGTCTCCGGTACAGGTGAAGACGGAGGTGGAGAAGCTCCCCCGGCAACAGCGAAAGGATAGCATGAAGCAGAAGATGGAGGAGTACGTGCAGAAAAAGCAGCTTCTTGTGAGTCCACAGCCCAAGCCCTCAGCTGGGGAGGGAGGAGGGCAGGTTTGAGATCCTGAATGGTGACCAGGCCCCCAGCAGCTCATCGTAGCCTCCTCTCTGTCTTTGCCCGTGTCCAGGCCTCAAATGCCTATTTCCTGTTCTGCACACATAAATCCTGCCCATCCTTCATGCCGTCTCCCCACTTATCACCTCCCCTATGCAGCCTTCCCTGATTCCCATCACTCCAGCTAGAAGTGAGCTCTCCCTTCTCTAGACTTTCCAGCCCTTTACATCACCCACCTCCTTAAGCCCTGAAGTCTTCCTGCCTTGTTGTAGGGTCATTTATTTGTACATCTCATCTCCTTGATCAACCCAGTGTATCCATCTGCACATTAGATATCTTTTGGAGTCTCAAAGACATCAAACCTGAGATCTCCCAGGCCTGGTCTTGTTCTCATGTTCTGAGTGGGCACCATCCTCCATCCATCCTGTTGTCAGGCCAGATTCCTGATACCTCTCCCCCACTCCAATCCTTCATCGCCTCCTGAAACCTCATATTTTTTTTATCTCCTTGTTATCTCTTGTCCATCAACTTGTCAACACCTCTGAGACCCCCTAGCCATCATCATCTTTGCCTGAACAGCTGCAGTAACCTGCCACCAACTAGTCTCCCTACTTCTTCTTTTGCTCCCCTGCAGCTCTTTCTCTCTCTCACACCAGCAGGTATGATCAATACAAATTCCAAATCTGAACACATCACTCCTTCCTCCACAGCTGTGCCTTAGTACTTCAGTACCAAAGCCAAACCAAATTTGTTGCCGTCGAGTCAACTTTGGCTCATGGCGACCCCATGTGGATCACCTTTGTCCATAAGATAAGACCAGCCTCCTCACTATGCTTTTGAGGCCCTGTGGCCCGGCCCCTGCCTGGTTCTGACTCGTTTGTGTCCACTGCCTCAGCCTTACCAGACTTCTTTTCACCCTTGTTGGTCCATGCCCCTATATTTCCCACCACAGGGCCTTTGCACGTTCTGTATCCTCGGCCCCAAAATGACCAGATTATTAGAGCTTGTAGGGCCAGCCAGTCCACATTTACAAAGCTTCTATGTATATCATCTGACTTGGCATTCATAGCTTAACAAGGTTGGTGCTGTTGGTTTTCCCATTTGCAGAGGAGGAAACCAAGGCTTGAGGAGGTAACATTGCAGGGTTAACAGTGTAGGCGAAGGCCTCAAACTCACTCTGACCCCAGACCTCATGTTCTGTCCAGCACACCATCATACTTTTCTACAACCTGGCCCTTGATACTGTGATTAGAAAAAGAATGCAGGGGTGGTGAGGGTGGAACACAGGCTCACACCCCTGCAGAGGGAGAGCAGATTGTGTGGCCCTTTAGGAGGGCAGGAGCCCTGGTGATGGAGTGGTTAAGAGCTCAGCTGCTAACTAAATGGTCGGCGGTTCAAATCCACCAGCCGCTCCTTGGAAACCCCATGAGGCAATTCTACTGTGTTCTGTAGCGTCACTATGAGTCGGAATTGACTCAATGGCAATGGGTTTGGTTTAGGAGGGCAATCTGGCAGTTGTGTCAAGAGCCTTAAAAATGGGCACATCCTTAAGTGTCTCTGCTTTTAGAGACCAATCCTAAGGAAGTTATCACAGCAGTTCACAAATATTTAGCTACCAGAGTGTGAAAAACAGCACTATCTAAAATAGAGAAAAGCCACAAACAGCCTATTATTTATTGGGTAAATAAATTAAGGTATCTTCCTATCATTAAATATTTTTAGCCATTAAAGCTCATATGACAGAAGACTACACTGTGACCTGGCAAGGTCTTTTTAATAATTTTTGTGACAAAACAAATCGATATAGACGTACTCACACACATACACCACAAGCGGTTGCTAGCCCTGGGTAGTAGGATTACGGTGGATCTTTAATTTCTTCTTTTTTTTCATTTATTTTATTTTTGTTGTTGTTGTTGAGAATATTCACAGAACATACACCAATTCAGTAATACCTACATGTACAATTCAGTGACATTGATTACATTCTTCAAGTTGTGCAGCCATTCTCACCCTCCTTTTCCGAGTGGTTCCTCCCCTATTAACGTAAACTCACTGTTCCCTAAGTTTCCTATCTAATATTTTGAGTTGCTAGTGTTAGTTTGATCCCATATAGATGGTTCTTTAAAAGAGCGCAATGCTCAAAGCAGACATTCTTTACTAGTTAAGCTAAACTATTGTTTGATTTAAAGAAGACCTCAGGGGATATTTTTGGTTTAAGGTTTAAAGATTATCTCAGGGGAATAATTTCAGGGATTCATCCAGGTTCTGTGGCTCCAGAAAGTCTGGAGTCCATAAGAATTTGAAATTCTGTTTTGCATTTTTCCCCTTTTGATCAGGATTCTTCTATAATGGTAATGGTAGCCAAACACCATCCAGTTATTCTGGTTTCATGGCAAAGGAAGCAGCTGTTCATAGAGACAATTAGGCATACATTCTATTTCCTCCTCCTGTTCCTGACTCTCCTTCTTCCTCTGTTGCTCCAGGCGAATAGAGACCAATTGTGCCTTGGATGGCTGCTTGGCAAGGTCTTTTTAATACTTTTTGTGAAACAACAATGGCAGATACAGATACAAACATACATATACACCGCCAATGGTTGCTAGCCCTGGGTAGTTGGATTAGTAGGGATTTTTAGTTTC